GGGGGGGGGGGGTAAACAAAGCCGGATAGCAAAAAGTCCCTATTAATTTTGGGCGCCAAACACTATTTCTGTACGCTATATTTAAAAACTATCTAGATATAAGTTCTACAACTATTCGTACTTCATGCTGAGAGAGACACAAACAGGAAAATTCACGACAAGGAATACATGCTACATATGGAGAATTAACAATAATATTGGGAATTAACCAAATTAAATGTGGGGATTATAAGAAGGTACTTAGAATTATCACATTATGTAATAAACCATTGACATGCAGTCAGATTACTTCTCGATCCCTACAACAAGACACTGATAGCAAAATAACAAATCTATCAATCATTAATTAGGTCGTTTTTAAGGACAAGCGGGCTTTACCCAAAAATGCTGTTTTGAGAAAATCGATGTTAAAGTTCTGGGATTCTTATTCAGTCTCTTTAAAAGACAAGGAGAGTTTTCTCTATTACAAAACAAATATACACATCAATGAAACCAAACTTCTCCTATAGGTAGGGCAATGCCCACTTTGGTATAGGTCAAGATTTCTGGAAATCCCCGAAATCTGGGTAAGCCCGCTTGTCCTTAAAAGCGACCTAAAAGAAGGTAAGGACAAAAACAACTCAACTATGCTATGAAGAAGCATGCACTTTCATATTATATATTATCGACATAACTATGAAAGCTAAAACCAAAACGCCTCATCCAAATTGTCAAAACAAAGCGGTTAACACGCTCTTTTTAAGGCAGTACATTTTTTAGATGAGACAATACTATTATGTTTACGTTTAGTTACGGCAGATGAACATGCTTAAACGCATTGACTATTTGTATCAGGCCCTACAACTACAATCCCGAACCAGTACTACAAAGAATATAATTTTTTATCTAGTTCTGGGATGAGGAAAGGTATAGATATCTGCCTACCTCTCTCAGGTTTTTCATCATCTTTTCTTGTATCTTCTGGTTTTCCTTTGCTTTTTCTAATTGCTGCTTCAGAGTCTCAATTTCTCTTTTGTGGGAATCTTCCTCAGAAGACCTGAAATTAAAAACATACTTTTCAAAGAACAGTTGCAATGCAGAATAAACTTTGTGAATGATATAGTGCTTGATCCTGGAGTCCTTTAATGTAAGGCATCCATTATATCAATGACAATAACGGGTGGTGAAAATAATTGACAATGACCATAACATTTTAGATATATTTTTATATGATGTTTCCTTAGAATATTCAAGTCTCTTTTTTTTCTACTATACAACGGTAATGATGATAATAATAGTAGTGAGAAGAAGCAGAAGCAGAAGAAGCAGAAGAAGAAGAAGAAGAAGAAGAAGAAGAAGAAGAAGAAGAAGAAGAAGAAGAAGAAGAAGAAGAAGAAGAAGAAGAAGAAGAAGAAGAAGAAGAAGAAGAAGAAGAAGAAGAAGAAGAAGAAGAAGAAGAAGAAGAAGAAGAAGAAGAAGAAGAAGAAGAAGAAGAAGAAGAAGAAGAAGAAGAAGAAGAAGATATCATCAAGTTCCTGATGAAGCCCAAGGGGTAAAATATAGAAGTATTTCTCAAATCTTAACACAATTTTCAAAACTCTATCTTAGTCTCTTTGTGTTTTTTCCCTACTGTTCAACAACAATGATGATGAGGACACAGATGGACGAAGACAACAACGATCACACCTGCTTATCCTGTTTTTCATCGAGGACGATTGCTTGAGCTGTGCCCTAGCCTCCCCCAGTTCACTGGTGAGTTTGCTGATCTGCTCGTCCGCCCTCTTCTTGCTGCCCTCCATCAGTGACATTTGACCCTGCAGGAGCGTCACTTGTTTCTGCATGGCGTCTCGCTCTTTTCGAAGTTTGATCAGCTCCTGCTTCTCTGTAAACACGATGACAGTTCCAAACGGAATACATGTGAGTCAAGTTATGAAGTAAATATAATTTGGTTATCTAATGATCTCCTTCTATAGTTGCAAAACCCATGAAACATACAGAAGGGCGTGGATATGAACTATATGAAAGCAATAACTCTTACTTCTTTAAACACATGATTCTATCAAAACAAGACAAGAACATTAACTCAGAGATTTCGTGCCAGCCACATGTCACAGAGTTGACATTCATTTTTAGATAGCAGGCCATAAAGACATATGGTGGAAGATGACACTGATAAAGTGTTGCCATTTATACATTAACTTCCTCTTTTAACTGAACCTTGCAAAAGTTAAAATAACAATTTCTAATTAATTTTCTGAGTCAAAGTGTCTCAGGTAGTTTCAACCTATATGTTTTAAAACACCTTAATACAATCTGTATTTCCAAATTTAAAAATAATACACTATCCCTGAGAAAAAAATATTACTGTTTGTGCTCATGTTTATCAAGCTGACTAAGAACTAGAGTAAAAAAAAGAGTAAGAAAACTTCATGATACATAAAAAGTTGTTACCTTTGGCTGCCACTTCTCCGTCATGTCCATAGTTGATGACAAATCTCTGATGTTTGGCATCTAGTAGGCCGTACTCATGCTTTAGATTGTTGTTCTCAGACTGAAGCCGTATGTTCTCTTCTTGCAACCTGAGGATCAGAATATTGTGTCCTTGTCAGTGTTGCTGTTGCAGCTGTTGAAGTTTAGGGCTTACTGGACACTTTGTGTGTAAATTTTAAAAAGGGTAATTTGGCCAGCTTCCTTGACACCGGACATAAATTTAGAACACACTCAGGTTCAAACCACGAACTTACCTTATTAATAACTAATTTCTACGCTGTGGCCTACCATGACTGGCTTTTAAGTCTAAATAGTGCTTCTATTTAATGTAGAAAAATATTTTCTAAGAGTTTGTTTATTCAATCAACAACGTGAGTAGGCCTATAATTATGATGTTTCCTTGGTAAAATAGTAATTGACATGCACTTAAAATATTCCAAAGCTAAAACAATATTAATATGTGGTTTCTATTTCAAATTAAGTCTTAGCACTTGAACTAAAAACACAGCTGCGAGGTTTACGTTATTCCGCATTCCTTAAACTGAAAATATATGACAAACGATAAATAAAACCAAGGGCTGATACATACTTGCCGGATTCCGTCTTACTCGGTGTCTTCCCCATGGCATGTTTCATTTTTGAGTTTTCCTGAAGAAGAGGATAGGAGATGTTCTACTATTTACTGTTTACACAATGATTTAGACAGACAAAACAAAAAGTCGCCAAAATAATCTGTTTTTCTTAGAAACTAAAGACTCATCACCTGACGTGTCAACTGGCTACTAAAAAAAAAAGCTTCGACTTTCTTAACGGTATGGAAATGCTCATGTGGGGGTTCAAAATTTACTGATCATACTAGTCAAAGCATTTTGTATCAAGAATATTTTTGTAATTAGCAGCCTGAAGGTGGGAAGAAACTAGACAATGTCACATATCCAAAATGTCCTGATTAACGTGGGAAATCAGCACCTGTGCACTAACAGAAAGATCTGCACAGCACCCACCATCCTCCAAATATCTAATAACATGCTCACAGAACTAAAAAAAACTCCAAAAAGAAAAAAAACCCCTTTAAATTAAATGAAGGCAAGTTTAAGAATCCAGAAATCTGTAACGTACAGCTTGTTGTATTATTAATACAGACTTCTGTGTCATGTTCTGTGATGGAGGAGATAGAGACTGAAATAAAGGGAAAAAAATAATTACCATTTTCTGCTATTCTCTTACATAAACTGGATCTTCTTGTAGGAACAAAATTAAACTGACATTGCTTCTGAATTTGTAAGAAAAAAATTGATTGAGTCAGAGAGAAACAAAGTACTACATGTATAATCTTTTATTGTTGAAATGTGGACGAAAGGTTTTTTAAAACTAGGAGGTGACAAGCTGCACACTCCAACCAGCAACAACATGAAGTTTGTAAAACCAGGGGGTAGGACTATAGTTACAGATGGCAAGTTATATACTGTTTTAGTCAACATCTTATGTCCTTATGTTAAGTGACAATCTCTCGAAGTCCAACCCCTAGTCCACGCCGTGGGAGATGGAAACCAGACAAAGTAGGGGATAGCTGGGTCTGGGTGAAGTACGGTGTGACTTTATGTCACTGAGGCGTTACGCTAGCCGTGAAGGCCGACCCAGGTCACCCTGAAACGTTGCTGGCCAACGAGGCTCTGGTGAAACAGCGACTGGCTTAGCAGGCCGGCAGTGGATATTAATATTGCTCAAGAAAATAAAAAGAGACACAATAAAGGTAAGTTAAGTGACAATAGTCTTTGTGGCTAATAAATTCCAGTATATAGCAGTTGCAGTAAGCGTAATAAGGAAATTATCGATGAACAACCGTGCACTGCTGCATTAAGGTAACAGGGTGAGTTGTGCAAGTGAGATCTGTGATAATCTCTCTTTATATTACACCCCATGTGTCTTACATCCTTTAAAAAGTGGGCGTCAGAGTGGTGAACCTACTTATGTTCCATCCATTCATAACTTATGTAATTTGAAACTAAATCTCGGATTTAAAACTCTTCACCTGGTTGACCATGTCCAGTTTGAGACTCATGGCCTCATTGACCTCCCTCAGTTGCCTGTTGGCGTCCCGTATCTCCTCCATCTTTTTCTCCAGTACCTCCAGGCTTGGGTTCTTGTACTCTTTATCGGCCTGTATAAGCAAAGAGGAGTGAAGTTGTAGAACAAGTAAAATATGGTAATTTACAACAGTGATCGCCTTGTTTCAAAGGTACAATCTAAGTTAATGAAAGTTTAAAAACAAAAATAAAGGAGCAGACCCCACCATAGTAGAGACAAAACTTGTATTGTACATTCAAAAGACGATTTAGTGAATAATATGTTTTGTGCAAATAAATCATATTAAAACATCGCTGCATTAAAAAAGCACAGATCTCTCTCTCTCTCTCTCTCTCTCTCTCTCTCTCTCTCTCTCTCTCTCTCTCTCTCTCTCTGTGTATGAGTCTGTGCATAAAGATTTATATATGTATATATTATCTTTCTCTTCGTGATAGCTATCGCTATTGACATTGTTATGAGTAAAGACAGCATTACTTCATTAATAGTAATTACAGCTAGCACAAACAAAACAAAACAAAAATGTAAACATCACGTTACTCACAAGGGCTTCTTCTTTTTGATCCATCAACATATCTCTCGACTTCTCAAGCTCTAACGCTCTTTTCCTGAAAAAAAAATTACAATATTAGGAAATTTATGTTTAATAACAAACATTACTGGACAATATTAGGCCTATCATTATTCTTAAAAAGATAAGAGGGGAAAACATACAACCTGAGGTAAGCATACACTGATTGCTCTGATTTTCAACACTATTAGATGACTGTAAAGGACAAAGAAAACAACTAATCAAAATATTTCATCCAATTAAGGATAGAGGAATTATAACTAACTAGATAATGACATATTTACCGTAAACTCTCATTTTCATTGCGAAGCTGGTCCATTTTGACACTGAGCTGTTCAAGCTCACCCAGCTTCTCCAGACTATCTTCAGACTGAAACAAAGTGTTGATAAGTAAGATCATTCACTGTATCACCAGCATGCTGACTAATTGTACAATTTAAAAAATATAATAGTCTTGTTCAATTGCAAGTCATACTCAAACATAAATTTAATTCAGGTGTAAACAATATTAACTCTTACAATAGACTTCAAACCCCATCTCTAAGGTAATGATAAATAATATTTTCCTGATTTATTGAGTTTGGTGTACATGTATTTGCCTTTTAAATGTAAGCCACAATTGAGGACGTGTCTTTTGACAGAGATTATAAGTATGGCTGACAAGTCATATCAAGACAGATTAATAAGCATTCTTATTTTACTTTAACAAATCAAACAGTAAAGTATAAGTTAAAACAACAGGTCTTTTGAATGAGACCTTTTCAGACTACCAGTAATTCTTATTCAGAATGGAAACAATTCATTTGCAGTTTCGAAAAGAAAAGAAATAAAAATAATAATAACAATAAAATGCCACCATCACTCAATCATGAGAAGCCTCAAACTTTTGTTGAACAATAAATGTTCAGCTTTGACAAGCTTTACCATCTTCAGCATCTTTTATTAATTCAATTTTTGACTACATTAGTAGGAACATTGTTTTGAATCAATTTTCATAATGCATATATCGCTCACCACCAAAAGTATATATTATGATAATTCATTTGTTAATCATACCTCCTAAATCACCAAAAAGTTCCTATAAGTTTATAATGCAGTCACAATGGATAGAATCATGTTAGAAAGTGATTTACAAACATGGCTCTTTTTCTCCTACAGCTCAAAATGTGTACATTCAAAAATGTTTTTTTTTCACAAGAAAAGCGCAAGAAGAAGGAGCTACTTTGATGCCTCAGACATGGTTAAGTTTAAAGAGAAAAACATTTCTTGCAAATACGTATGAATGTACAGACACAATATAGGGCTGAATACATTCCACATGACTGAGACTATCACATGCACAAGAACAATAGAAGTCCAATTAAACACTAACAAGGATAATGGAATAATTTAACCAAACAGTTTTGAAAAATAAATTCTTCTTTAAAAAAATGTTCTTGAAAGAACACCCAAAAAAGGCTGACATAGTCAAGACAGTTGTGAACATTAAACGTTACAAATTTTGTAGTCCAGTGTCATAAAAACCAGACAAATGAAAATAAAAAGAACTACTTTAAGAGGAACTGTTAGAAAGACTAAGCTCCGAAAGGGACATGCTATGCAGGAGAAGAACAAATAAGACACATCCAATCCCTTCCATCTTTTTATGGGTGTGATTTGTGCTCATTACCCTCAACTCTAGAGTAGTCATTTTTTATGAACAACTTATAGGAAGAAAAAATAACAAGAATTTACCAGTTTATACACAGATAGTGGTGATTATATTTCACTAGCGCCTATGCTAGATACGTGTAAAGTGTCTTTTCTGAACATTTGTGACTGCCAATACTCTTCTCTAAATTGATTTTATAAACAAATTTCAATCGATGACAGGCAAAAAGACTGAGACATGCAAATCATACTTAAATTTCTAGCATGTACATAAACAGATTACCAGAGTGTCATCATGCAGATAAAAACAGGACAGTCATGCAGCAGGCAATGTTTTCCATCATACTTACAACTGTGCCTTTTTCTTTCAATTTGCTCAGCAAGAACATTTCATATTTCTTTACCCATTTGTGTTTCGAAAAATGACTTTCATTTTCAATGAACATACCTTTATGACACAGGCGCAACATTTTAACAAGTCTTTGAGAACACGAACCCATCACAAAAAAACCCATATACATGACCTACCTAGCCATGATTATTTGAAAAAATTAATGGGTACGAGAATCGTAAAAGAAAAAACAATGTATATCATCTTCTCACTTTTACAGAATGAGACCTCATGTTGAGAATCAGGTGTAAATACAACCATACAATGACTCGTTCAAATTTTGTTTAATTATAATTAAGTATAAGACCAGAGGAAAGTGAAAAATAAAACCCAAACTGTAGTATCAATATGTAAACACACATAAAATTATTTTTAAATTCAATATTTGATTTAATTTCATCCTTTTTCTTGTACAAGACTCATACTCCATACTCCAAGGAAAGCAGTTCAGCAAAGTTAATAGAATGAAACCGTGATAATGTTTTCATAGAGAATCATATCTACAAAATGACAGAAAAACAGATCATTTTCAAAAGGACAAACGTAGCTCATCTACTCTGGCTGTGTGATGCTCTTGCGTCACACTGACATGTTCTATTACCTGAACTGGTAGAATCTTATTAACATCTCCATGAATACTTGCAGCAGGTGCTTGTGTTTCATGTTCCAAGAATGTTTCCCAGAACTCAAAATCGTCATATAAATTCAAGTATTTCAAAACAAAGTTCTCTGTGTCCTCCGATATCTCAGAATTAAAAGCAATGGTTTCAAACACATCTTCATCTTCATCATTATTCTTTTCATATTTGTCACACATAAAGTTAAACACGGTGTCTTTGGCTGAATCAAAGGAAACATGTTTACATGTCTGATCCCTTCCTGTTACACTCATTGGCTTCACAGCATCATCAAGGATGTCACTTGCACACTTCACCCTGTCACTACTGTTTGCAATGAGCCTCTCTACATTTCCAAGAACACTGTTGCAGGATATCTTTGTCTTTGCAGAACTAGCACAGTTGGAAACTGAATCTGTTCCATACGACTCACCATCACTGGTGCCGGTATCTGATCTTTGCATGTCAATTTTTCTTTCAAGGTCTTCATTTGTGTCCTCCTCAAGAGGAATTCTTCTAGAAGCAGCATCTTCCCATGATGCAGGCATATGATTCATGTTTGCTGCTATAGCTTTTCCATCAGTTCCTTTGTTCAAAAGACATGACTTAGTACGCTTCACAAACTCAACTTCCCTGGTAACAGAGATTTCTTCTGACTTGCAGCTCTCGGTTACTTCCACACATGAGCAGTTAGAAGACAGATTCCCATTACAACTCCTCACAGGTTCTTGGTGATTTGTGACTGAAACTCTAGAGTTATATGGGTTGAGAGACAGGGCATTTCTTTGACACTGACAACAAGATAGTTTGCTTACATTTTTGGTCAACACATGCTTTTGTGTCTCCAAGAGCTTCATCATTTGTTCATTCTCAGCTTTTTCCTGAAGCAATCGGCGGTTTTCCTCCCTCAACCTGGGATAAAAAGTAAAAAACAATGAGGTGAACATTACTTTGCACCACCCAGCACCACTCTCCAGTATGAAGTAACAGTAGAACTTGTATGTGCGTATGTGCATAATATGTACGTATGTGTGTATGTGTGTAAGTATGTGTGTATGTGTGTGTGGTGCATGCGTGCATGAATATGGGTGTGCCCGAGTATGTAACACTATGGGCCTTTAAAATTGATTTGTAAATCTATAATATGTATCACGTTAAGTGCATAGAGCATTGAATAAGTGGATATGCGCTATATAAATGCAATCCATTATTATTATTATTATTAGAAATAAAACATTTGGGAGAAAATACTGATGCTGTTGAGTATTTGGAACTTTTAATCTTTGCTCAACCTATGGCTTAAAAAAACTATACACAGTACTCACCTTCCTGCCTCTTCATCCCTGTCAGAAAACAATTCACTTTTGTCCTTAAGAACTCTCATTTCTTGCCTCAGCCCTGAAATCTGAGTTGGAAAGAAATTTTGAAATCATATATCTTATAACATTGCATTTGAAAAAAAAATCACAGTGCGAAGCTGCCTTATCAGTACTTCAAGCAAAGAACTAATAAGAATTTCTAAAAAACAACAAAAGAACACAAAATGCTAGAGTGTGTGTATTGCACTTATACTTCATTGTATCATATTGTATTGTATGACTTCAATTCCCTTCTCCACACACTGTGAATAGCATTGATGCGGGACCTCCAGTCCAAAAAATAACTCTGACAGGGCCAAGTCAAGAGGATGGGGCACCATGAACACTTCTCAAATAACTTGAGCTCAAAACTTCCTGTACAAGCTTCAAGCCAGAGTCATCTGTCTCAAAGTTTTGCATGTCTGGACTGGACGGAAACTAAAAGCTTCAACTCAAAAAGGACAAATTTAGAGGTTTATTTTCTAACTTAAACATCATCTATTAAAAATCCTGAAGTGCGCAAAACTCAAACACAATAGCCACCCTGTTTGTGCTGTACTAGTACGCCACTATTTTTGTTAATAAAATCCTGAAACAGAAGAATATGAAAGATGTAGTTTATATGTGCATGTAGGTTCAAGAATTTGTATATATTACTTAAGACATATCATCACACCTTAACACTTAGCACATTATTGGCAGATTGAAAAATGAAATACAGCCTTCTGCAATATTTTTATAAGACATTGAAGACAATAGAGATAAAGTTTAAAGCTTTTAGAACAAGAAACTCAAACAAGGAACAATATTAAATCCACCTGAAATTTTAAATAAGGTGAAAAATCTGATTTCCAACTCACCGTGTCTTCCAGTTCATGACATCGGTCTGTGAAATTTTGCAGTTCTGACTCTTTTCTGGACACGGAGGCTGTGAGACGCTCACAGGTGTTCTTCCACGTGTCAATCTCTGAGTGCTGTAGAGCTGTCCCTTCTCTAAGTCCTTCATTGGCCTTGTTTAATTTCTGTGTTGAAAGACATTTACAAAATTAGAGCAGTCATTATAATCCTATAACATTACAGGGTTTCCAAGAACAGGCTTTTAACTAAACTGACATAAACTATTTATTTCCTAAAAAAGTTCCCTCACTTAGTCCTCTAATGGAAAAAGAGTTCAATTTAGTTTTAGTAGGAGTCGTAAGGCACTTGCTATAAAAAAGAGTCATTTAAGTGCCAAAGAATAAATGTGCTACTAGAGAGTACCGTGCAAAGAAAATAAGGAGGAAAAAGATGATAGATATTATTTCATAAGAAAAAAGGAACAAACTACACCAGAGCATTGTCCTTTCACCCACATGGAAAAATAAGTGCTCACATTACCAAAATGTAACTGAATGTTAGCAGTTCTATTATCGTTTCGCTAAGAGAAGGATCTAAACTCAAAGCATAAATTAAAGGAAACAGGAACATACTTTTCTTCTTTCAACTTTTACAAAACAAAAACAAAGTAACATGACTCACAGCTTCTAGCTCCTCTACTTTGTTCTCCGATTCCATGCGCTCAAACTTGGCTTGCTTGAGTTCATTCTGATGAATACAGTCAACAAGATGATAAGGGGATTATAGAAACAAGAACATACCTGTATGAGAAAGGAGCATGGGAGTTCATTTAGTTTTTTCCATCATCTTCTTATACTCATTCAGAAGTTTTTAGAGAAGATTTGCACATGCTAGAGTTTATCATACAATAATATTGTTTAATATTGTTTAGTAACTTCCTGAACCACATTGCTAATGATAATACTCTGTTCAACCCCTAACAAATAATGCCCACAGTCCCTTTTGAGGTTACATTAAGCCTCCCAGGTCCTTGGGCCTTCGAAAGACTTCAAAACAACGAGACAAAGTCTGAGGTAACTAACAGATTGATAGCAATATAATCACTTTGTGACAACAGATGTACATTAATATAAACAGGAATCAACCCTCACCAATTGCTCTTAGCCATAGAATCCTTTGTATTAGGCTATATAAACAGAAGTGGTCACACAGTGTTATACAATTTATTCTTCTCTGCAAACAACATCATTCTTGTCAGCAAAATAAAAATTATAACATAAAGGGGAAGTTATTAGAGAATGTAAGGGGAGTATTTTACTACTAGTGGAGTTACTAACCCTGAGTTTGTGAATCATTTCATCCTGATGTTCATGCTCTCTCTTCTCGTCATAAGTCCTACTATTCAGAGTCTATGGGAAAAAACAAAAAAATCTCCCATGAGTAAAATACTGGGAAAAAAATGTATTATACATTATAAGAGTTTTATAGTGACAAATATATGGCAATTCCCTTGAAACCAAAGCCAGTTCAAATTCCTTGACCATAAAACAGTAGGCCTATCACTAACCAACAACAGGATAGAGACAAATAAAATAAAGTAAATCATATTCATGAGAGCTTAAACATTTTTCTAACATGTTTCAATAGATGGATAAGCAGCCTCTTTGCCTAATGCTTGATCCTTAAACAAGTCTCCTGTTTCCTTTGACGTCTAATATGTACTGGCTTCACAGATTTCTCTACGATTGTGAAAGGACACAGACACTACTACAGTCAAAATTGTCTAAGATGGTCACCCATCGTTAAAGAGAATATAGTGGCCGACTTTAACGGGTGGATGTATTACACAGGTGGGAAGACGCCATTTGTACAGATGATTGTTTTATATAGGTTCAGGTGGCTGTTAGAGCAGGTTCGATTGAATTGTAAGAACTTGGAGAGAACATAACAATCTGCTATAAATGATGAAAGAAAATTGTTACTATCCTATTTTGGGGGGAAGAAGGGGAGGCTTTGTTTGGGGTGTCATAATTTGGCTATAGTATGCAAAGTGTTTCACAATCATTTGCTTAAAATTTGCACCTTCAAATACATTCTAAGCATGAGTCTGGGATTCACCTACTTTAAACAATGTGAACTGAACTTGAACAAATATTCCCTTGTTATGCTATCCAATGCTATTTCCCATTTTTACACATTAAGTCAACTTCAGAGGCAGGCAGGACTCAAAATATGCAGAATGGAAGTCATAAAAAATGTGACAACAGCAGACTTGCGCAATAATAACACCTCATATTCTAATGCCAGAGAATAGAACTTTTAAATGTTTACTCCAAGACATGTATATTACCACCACCACCACTTCACCAGAAACTAAAAAGTTAACAAAGCACGAAAGGAGCCAAACCGTCCAACAGGGAAAAAAATAATAAAAGTAATGAAATTGATAATAAAAATAAGCCTAAAAATAATAGATCTAAGAATAAAGATAATAATGATGATAATAATAATAATAATAATAATGATTATAATTATAATAATAAAAACAAAAATGATAACAATTATAATAATAAATAATAATAATTGCATTTATATAGCGCATATCCACGCTCTACAGCATGCCCTACGCGCTTTACAACTATTAATGGGAAGGTACAAATCAACACAAAGAGACGTCCGCAACAAAAGAAACTGAAAAGGAAAGAAAAAGACCATGTGTACCTGGTTCAACCTGTCCACCTCCCCCTGCAGCCTCCGTCTCTCCTGTTCCGCCAGATCCTGCTGGGACTGCCAGATGGACTTGCTGTTCTCCAACACGGACACCTGCTCCAGCGCATTCTCGTAGAATCCTTTGACAGAGGACAGTTCAGAGCTCAACTGCTCACTTACCTAGTAAAAGGTTAACATATATTAATATCATGTTATGGAGATAAACATTTCAAAATGTTATAGTAGAGGTTTTACGGTGCTCGCAACTGCATAAGGTCAAATATGAGTGCTAGAAGATTAGAGGTGCTATAAGAGAGTAACAAACATAAAAAAAGAAGAAGGGGAGATAAGGACGATAGATGTTTCACAAGAAAAAAGAAGCAAACCACACCAGAGCACCTGCCAATCACCCGCTTTTCAACATGTGACAGCCGTCAATTAATCAAAGGAAACAATATGTTGCCTGATGGAAACTGTAGATAAGCCTGAAAGAAACGCATCCCAGCAGTGGAATCAACCCACCCAGAGTTAATATCTATTCAGTGCAGGCATCACATTTCAGGATTTGTTTCAGTACAAAATGACACAAAGAATGTAAACCAAATGACACACAGAAAGTGAAAAATCATGTCTGTAATCTCCATTTACCAATCCTACCTACTACAGTGACACACTTAAAAACTTCCATTGTGCAACAGTAGGAAAAGTACTTCTAAAAGCATACTTATCCATAATTTCAGAAACATCGGACAAATCTCATTTGTCATTCTCAATTTTTTTTTAAATTGTTAATGAGCATATGAAACATTGCAAGAAAAAAAGTAAGCAGTTCAAAACCATTATTCTCACTTTTTTCACTGACGCCAGCTCTCTGGTGAGTTCTTTCATTCCCTGCTCAGTTTTGCTATCCGAAGCTCTGCCTTGAGATCTGTGACTTGTTTGTTCATTCAACTGATCCTCAAGATTTAGTGTTGCCTGAAACATTGACAACACTCCAGATAATGACTGACATAAAAGGGTGTTATAAAGGATAAATAAAAAGATATTTTAAAAAATGTGTCACATCAACGAGCAAAATAAATGTCATCACAGTCATTTGGCATCCACTTGATTATCTACCTGGCCAATAAATAAATCAATTATAAAAGCAAATCTGAAATTTAAATGAGAACGTTTTTAGACGGATCTATGAAATGAAAAAGGGACACAGCATCAAATAGACCCTCATTTATAAAGTCAAATATAGTCATCTGCCTACAATAGCATGAATATTGTACACTCTAAAACGCTTACTCTCATCATTTTTTCCTTGTCCAGCACCATCTGTTGTATTTTGCTGCTCATCTCCAGCTTCTCAGAGAACAGACGGTCCCTGTCAGCACTTGTGGCAGACAGCCTTGCCTTGAGGTCTGTGATTGTGTCCTGGTAACTCTCTACCTGACGTGCAGTACGAGACTTGTCCTACATGAAAGAAACAATTCTAGGTTCAGTTTTCTGAAAGATACATCAAATCTTTATATGTACTTCGGCTGTCCATCGATATCAATGATGACTAAAGCAGTGTGCAAGATACTTTGCCTGGGCAGTAGACATAGAGGAAGTAGATCGCCCTCATACTACTTCACTCTCTTCAGGTCTTAATTTCCTTGAAATGCACCCAAGGAGAACCCCAGTCAAATTTGTAATCAAGACAAGTATAATGGTGGGTTTTTTTTACTATTTACAGGTATAGATATTCTTTGTGGTAGGGAAATTTTTTTAATGCGAGTTCAAATATGAAGTTAGCTCAATATTTAGATATAAGAAACATTTTAATTGATCCAAACAAAGCACATCCACACTTCAGATTGATTTGCACGTTTAGAAAAAAGATGAGGAAAGGGATGCGTTCAAATTGTAGATGTTGACACACACAACTTTTGAGGTTTTATGAAGATCACTTAAGTTTGCTAACATTATGCAACTGTTACTAAAACCTTTTTTTTTTATAATTGTGGTACATAACCATCACAGCATCATCGTCCAAAAATTCGCACTACCATGTGAGCCAGGCATACCTCTGAAGAGACTTTATATGATGAGGACAAGCGCTCATTCTCATCTTTGACAGCTTGAAGAAGACTCCGAAGTTCAATCATCTGCCCAGCCATTTCTTGTACCTTTCTTGTCAAAGCTTGGTTATCCTGGGTATAAAATAGTAATAGATTATAAAGATGAATGTATTTATCACTTCCTAAAAATCATATGTGAACGAAAACTACACTAAGCATATAAATCCCAGGGTAGTAAGGTACTCAAAATAAGCTAATGATTTTAAATCGTCCAAGATACCTGAGCTGATGAAGTGTACAGACTTCTTGACAAGAATTGACTCCAGAATTCACATTATCATTATGCATGATATTCATGACCATTAAAGTATATTGAGACTTGCAGTAATATACAGTTATCATGATCCAAGTCATCAACATACATACAATCTATGGAAAGTACCACATAAACAGTGCGAAAGTGTTACCTCCTTCATCCTGAGGGAGTCAGCTTTCAAGTTCCTGTTGTCCTCATCCAGAGCACCAAACCTAGTCTTAGTGAGACCAAATGCATCTTTCATCAAGTGAATCTCAGCCTGAAGTTTTTCTTTCTCCTGTTTCCAAAGCAAAACAAGACGGTAAATGTATATAATATATATCAAATACAAATCTGGTAAACTGTACGCATCCAGGTTTTGTACAGGAGTGTATGGGCATGTGAGTGTAATGTGGGTGTAACTGTGTGAGTCTTTGTGTTTAACGGACAGGATGTGAATTTCAATGCGATGTAAATTACAATTAATGTTGCACAAGACACTGAGCTTATACTCAAACTGAGACTCCCTACAGTAGGCCCTACATCCACCCTACCTTGTAAATAATAAAAGCATGCAAAATAATATGACTAATGTACTCGTAGGTACTACAGACATTAAGCCATACCAGGCTTGGAAAATAAATCCAGTCAAGGACACTCAATGTTAAACAATTAAATCAACAAAATTACATCAACTGGGACTGGTTTTGGTGCAGAAAGCTAGAACGTCCTTTAAAATTCCCAACTGCCAAGCCTGCGACAGTCCTGGGGAAATCAGGACAGGTTGGCAAGTCTACTGTACAGACAACAACAGATAGTGAGAGAGACTGCAAAAAGTGAACTGAACAGACCTCAATGAATAGTGAGCGTAGACTTTGTTATACTATCCAAGATTGGAAACTCCTGACATAATTCCAATTAACTATGGAGAGCACCATTAATTTTGACTCTATGTGGTACCAAATGAAAGGAAAGAGGGGAAAGCTGCAAACTGAAAACTACATTGAGATCTATTGCGTTTTACCCCTCATTTGCGAATTTGTGGAGCACACCAACGCAGCAAAGTTTTTAATGGGGAGCAAAGAGTGGCAGCCGTGATGTGCCCAGTCTAGTATTTGATAGTGAGTGAGGGAGAGGCACAACAAACCTGCTGCAGTTTAGTGTTCTCCTCCTCCAGCAGAGACAGGGCAGCAGTGGTGTGGTCCAACATACTCACTCTTTTGTCATTTTCACACTCTGTGCTCCGGTGCTGTGTCTTCAGCGTTTTTAACTGGTAATCTAAGGCACTGATTCTAGAGGAGAGATAAAAATAAAATAAAATAAGTTGATTGTACTTGAAGATACATACTTTTAGATGATGAAAGGCTTGAGAACAAATTTTAATTAAAAAGGGGAGTTTGAGACGGTCTGTTGCTTAACAATATCATTTCCTCTTGATAAACTATACAATCCTGAAACTGTTAAGTGTGTCAGTTAAAACAAAATAAGAGAAGCTTGCAAATTCCTCCATTTCTTAGCATTTGCAGGTTTTATGTACTTGTTACAAATTAGAAATATGAGATAACCGTGGAGGAGGTACAAAGAGTCTGCTTTTAGGAATAGTAGGCCTATTTAGATGTTTAAGGTTAATTAGTGAACATAGAAGTGAGTCAGCATATACTGCATACGTGTGTGTGTGTGTGTGTGTGTGTGTGTGTGTGTGTGGAAGTGCATGCATCCTTGTATATTTTTGAGTGCGTGAATGAATGCCTGTTAAGCGATAAAGGAGACAACGAGGAGACATACTTATATATTTAAAATACTAAACTTTGAATGCTGACAATTTACTCAAGTAAACTGGCCATGTGGACATAGTTAAACTAAAAGGTGGCTAACAAAACATCTCAGGTCACACTGCTTGTGATTTTAACTTGAAACTTAGACAAAATAATTGTGATAAGAGAGACCAACCTGTCTTGCATTTCTTCTCGGAGCCGAAGGTTCTCCATCTGCAGTCGCTGCTTCTCCTCTTCTGCTGTCTCCAACTGACAGATCTTTTTACGGTAGTCCTGTCAACAGAACAAAAAGAAAGCATATATTATAGTCATGGCATCTAGAATCATTATCTTGTTTAGAATCTTTTTCTTTAATACAGAAAACTATGCAGAACAAGTTTAGCCTACTAATTTTAACAGTCTCAGCATGAGTCTCTTATTATTGATAAAACTTGCTACTTCCTATGTTATTGCTATTTTGTCATTATCTTGTTTAAGGAAGAATCCCTTATCAAAAATAACACAAACACAAAAAACAACTGTCTTTTCTTTTTTTTTCTTTTCTTTCCCACTTTAAATAGCATTTAGAATTACAGGGTGAATTTTTTCCACTTCATTTCTCTGATCCAACAGCCATGTGAATTTTAACCTTTCGGCCAGTCGATAACCCAAAGAATTTATTGGTTTTTAATCAGCTGTGTTTTTTGTCGCTGTAGAGAGTGTTTCTGACATTGGGGAGCTTGGCAGGTTTGCACTTTGCACTTCACACGTCGCTAAGTGCAGGATATATAAAAGATGCAAATGCAACAGGCAATAGAAATGTCAAACTTGCGCTTTCCAAAGTAGGATCACAAATACACAAGCAGAAAACATGTAGTTTATGAGCCTAAATGAAAGCTGATGTGGTTTTTTTGTAGAATACAAAATGCAACAGAATGTCACAAGTCTTCAGCAAGCTGTTCAACTGTTGTAAGCCCAGAAAGTACACATTTTTGGGAAAGAGAGAAAACTCTTTCAATTCTTTTCTGATTGTACCTACGTAATATGTCATTTCTAATTTTTTTGGGTCAACATTTAGAATTTGAATTTTGACCAATTTTTTAATGAGTATTTGCAACCCAAGATTAATAAACTTAAAAAACAAATGAATTCAAAATGTTAGGCTTAGGACATCTGAACAGCTGGCCAACGATATTTGTGAGGCATCATGGTGAAATCAGGCGCTCGTCAAAATAAAGAAATCAAAGTAAAAGGCATTTTTCCACCAGTTTGGAAATTTTATCAAAATTTTGTTTTTTGGTTAAACACCTTTTACATTCATATGAAAACACATTTCTCTGTGAGCTTCACTAAAAATCTTTCTTTACAGGCACAAAATATAATGTCCAGTTTTCAAGGACTCTTAAGCTATTGAAGTTACCAAACTTTGGCTGCCATTTCCTCATTAATTTAATTACTGAAACCAGGCTACCCCACCCTCTTCAATCGCAAATATCTCGACTTCTATTCAAGCTAGATAGATATTTTTTCCATTGAAAGCAAGGCAAATGAATAAGCTTTTAGATGATATGTATACCTCTACAAGCCCAAAAATTGATGAGCACCTTGTTCCACTACGTCTTGACACATTTTATCGAACATACCCTCTCTTTAAATTTCAAATCCTCAACAAGAGTATTGTTCTCCTTGGCAGAGTTTTCTATCTTAGTCACCCTCTCTGTCTGCAGTTCCAGAGTTGACTGTGCTTCCTTGAGCTTGTGTACCAGCACATTGCGCCGACTCTCACTGTCCTCTGGGAATATTGCAAGACAAGAGACTGTGAACTTCATCACAACATCACCCTCAACACTGTACAGGCAATGGCAAAGGAAGGAAGGTCAGATGGAGGAATAGAAGAAAGTTCAGAAATGGAAACGTAGTTTTGAAATACAATAATTAGTTTAATAAAAAGTACAAGAAGAAGTGGAAAAGAAGAATGATATAAACAGGAACCCACAGGGAGCACGAGGCAGGGGTAGGTCACGGGAAACATGGAGGAGATGTGTGGAAAGTGACATGAGAGAGATGAAGCTCACTTGGAACGAGCTAGGAAGGATGGCCCAGGACAGAGATAAATGGAAGGAGCTTGTATGTGGCCTATACCCTGCCAGGGGTGAAAAGCATTGATGATGACGATGATGATGATAACATTTGTACATTGGATCTCAACTTCTGAATGCTCAAGGAGTTTTAAAGCAAAGTTCACATGAAAATGCATACTTTTTCATACATGTAAAATACAAGAACAAACACCTCTCTCTCTCTCTGTCTCTCTCTGTCTCCCTCTCTCTCTCCCCTCCCCATCCCTCCCTCCCTCTCTTTCCCCCTCCCCTCTCTCTCTCCCTCTCTCTCTCTCTTTCTCCCTCTCTCCGTCCATCCCACCCTCCCTCCCTCTCTCTCCCTCTCTCACTCTCTCTCTCTCTCTCTCTCTCTCTCTCTCTCTCTCTCCCTCTCTCCCCCCTCTCACCCATTCCCTCTCTCTCTGACCACACAGTACACTGTAATCTAAGTTAAGATCAGCCGTACCCAGAGCATGCTGCAGCTCCCTGACAGATCTGTCGATGGCGTCTGTGCTCCGCAGGCTGGTGGTGCCGGGTAACGACATGGTGTCTCCGTTGAAGGAACTGTTTAGACGTGACATAGACCGCGACCGGCTCAGTCTGGGCGTGATGCTGGACCGGATGTCCTCCGAGGTGAGGAAACCGTTTCTGGCTTTCAGAGACCTGTTAAAAAAATCAGAATACGTGTAATAGCTGCAATGGCTGATGTATGTTTACTAAATTACATGTGTTCCAAGACTGACTTTGGAGAAAGAAATATTATATTATTATGTTATGAAAACAGTTCAAACGTGCATTATCAGGTCTGAAATGTTGTGTCCCTGCTCAATACATTCGCATAGTGAATAGCTTGGGATGACTTTGACGTCCCTCTGAGAGATACAAGCACTATGCATGCTTCCCGGGAAGCTGAGAATGTTTCTGAGTGTTCTATGGTCTACTGGGGTAATAATGTAGTGTATAGCGCATTGAGCTTGCTTTCGAATGGGGACATGCGCTATACAAATGCTATTTATTATTATTATTTATTATTTAAAGCCCACCTCCAAAGAGACCAAGCTAATACGAAAAAAGATCAACAACCCCCCCCCCCCCCAAAAAAAAAACACCAAAAAAAACAACAACAACAAACAAAACAAAAAACAAACGAACAACAAACCACAATGACTTTTTTTTTTAAAACGTGGAAGAGTTATTATCCTTTGTCAATGTCGCTCACACAACCTCCATTCCAGAAAGGTAGCAATTTACAAAACGTGGCGCATATAGGCGTCGTTTACTTAATTAGAGAAGAATGTACTGATAAGCTTAGACTTCATTAAACAGAGCACAAACTCAAAAGAAAAAATATAATGCTCAAGGCCAATTTGAGACCAAGAGTATTTATGTAAATATTGCAGCAGCATAATATTCCATACAAGCTTTCTCAGATCCCTGAATCAAAGTCTTACACCCCCCCTCCCCTTTCTCAACCCCTCTTCCTCCCGCCCACCCTAATCTATAATAATATATCGAACTGTACAGACATTAGCCATAAGTATACACTAGACAACTTCTGCAATTTTGCAGATCAACCCTAGCGCCACAATACATGTGACTAAATCAGTAGTGCAGAGTGGTGTATCAAAAATTACTACGCTTTGAAGATACCATGAAACACATCTTAAGCAACCATCAACCCAAACATGAACTTTCTTAAAAGATGACATGAAAAAAACCCACCAGCCAAAACTGTTACTCTGCACATTGATTTTCAGATACAATAATTTTGTTTCAAAACCAAAGTGCAAGAAGTTTACCGTAGTGATTTAGGCCTGTTCTGGACTGAATCGCAAATTTACGCTGACCCTCTGAGGGGGGGGGGGGGTAGTAATCACTGACCAATACAAGAGCACGTATAAAGGAACATACTTCTGAATAGCGAAATCCGATAGCATAACATAGTTTAGTTTTATTGTGCCATCCACAAAACGATGCATTATTCAGGGGAACGGAAAATCAGATGTTACAATAGTCCTAGGGAGATAAGAGGGAGGAAGCCAATTCAGGTCGGGTTTTGGGTTGGGTTTTTTTAGGTGTTTTTTTTTTAATTGTGTTTGCGACATGCAGTTTTTCCAAACACAATGCACACTCTTTTCCTTCGACACGCATGAAGTTTCTTCATTAATCGGACATCAATCCCTGTAAAAAAAAAACAGTATGTAATTCGCTCCCTACAAAAAAAAAACAACAGCTCCCTGAATTACGCTCCTTCAAAGAATAGCCGTATTTTGTTTCTTCAAAATAATAATAATACTTTTCCAAAATTCAGTACAAAAAGGTTATTGAAACAAAGCACAAATTCACCATAAATCTGCACTCACCCAAAGCCACTATCAGAGTCCAACAGTGGGAGCGAGCGATCATGGAGGGCTTTCACAGGTCCACGAGAGCTGATCCTCGGCGTCGGACCTTCATAGAGTCCGGAGTGGTGCATCACCCCATCTAAGCTGTTGTTCAGGGTCCGCGCTTTGCTCTCGTCCTGAGGAATTCATAATTCAGATCGATGTGTATTAGAAAAAGACAACAACAAAAACTCCCGTTTGGGAACAGGCAGCATGTTTTGCTGAAAGGAACCACTCACAAACACAAATATGCACACACACACACACACACACACACACACACACACACACACACACACACACATACACACACACACACACACACACACACACACACATACACATACACCCCCACACACAAACACACACATACACATGCACCCCCAACACACACACACACACACACACACACACACACACACACACACACACGAGAGAGCCTGGGCTGGTCTTGACAGACAAGGTAGAAGCCGGCATCCTGAGATTGATTATCTAAATTGCGTCGACAGGGCCGTAAAACACACAACATAAAAACGAAACAAAAAATAAAAAATAAATAAAACCGACACACACACACACACACACACACACATACATACACACACACACACACACACACACACACACACACATACACACTCACTTACGCACACACAAACACACACACACACACACACACACACACACACACACACTAGCATTCATGTTAAGTTTCCATCAAGCTACTACAACACCTTAGTGAGCTCGTACTAAGTAATAAAAGAAATACTCATCATTCATCACAATCACTAAGCAGCTCCTCAACACACCAACCGCTTCCATTACCGAAGTGCGCAATTAAATCCACGAGCATCATGTTCATACACCTTTCGAGTTAACAAACAGCTATCCTAGAATTACCCGGTTCTATCTGCTCCGTACCTAAGTTTGAGAAATTCGATATTAAAAAAATGTTGAGCTTCACAACATGTCAAGCTTTCCGAAAGGAAAACTTTCAATAATGGTATATTGATAACGACTCCGAATAATCTTTCGATTTTGATAGAGCAGATAGAACATATGTTGGTTTCTGACCTCGTGGTCTTAGTAACTCAAAACAGCAAAAATGTCTGATAGAACTTTGTAGTTCTAAGGTAGCCAAATGTCTGAAAATATTTTTGTAAAACGTAACCTAACAGCATACAACCACGAAGGTAATTAAACGTACTACTTGTTACGTCCGGATGGGTA